AATGACATGCTACATGGCAATGCACACTTGTTTTTACATCGTAAAAACCCATGTCTAGTTCTTTTTTGGAGTCTGGGCCCAGTGTTAATGTCTTGTGTGGGCCAAACACACAAACTGTATTAATTAATTTTATTATTATAAATAAAGCAGTGATTTGAGGAGAGATCTGTGGATCTGGTCTCTGAACGTTAACAGAAGCTCAATCATTTACTGAAAGAAACATTTAACGTGACTCYAGCTGTCGTTTTACAGAACCAGACTGGCTCTGGGAACTCTTTACTGAAAAAACAAATGATGAAAAGGTTTTATGAGTTGATGAAACTAATGGATCCATTACGCTGGAACCATTAGTCCATTTGTGATCAGCCATGGGATTTTCTGTCAAAATTAAGAAGCTTCTCTGACCTTTTTGTGTTGGGGATCGAATAAAAACCAGCTGCCGCTTTCTGGAGAATGAATAATAAATGATAAAAGATAAATGAACTGGTTCCACCTCGACTGGCTCCTCTGCACCCCGAGGACAACCAGTAAGAAGAGATTTGTTTGGCCACTTGTAGATCCAAGTACTGCACACCAAAACCAGCAAATGTGTGTAGTCAAATGAAAATATTTCTAAGATCGTCTCACTTCTGTTTGCCTGCCTCAAAGTACTAAGTTAATGTAGTAATACTTACTATGACCTGGGACATGACGAGTACTTGGAGGGAGTGTACATGGTACCTATGGGGTAGGGKTTTGTACCAGGTATGTACCCTGTAAGGACCTTCTTCCTCAGTTTTACAAAGTGCTTACAGAGTACTTACCTGGTACAGGGAATGTATATGGGATGTACCATTTATATAACAATATGTTTTGATTCTAACATAGTGTGTACATAATACTTCATTCTATGTTAATATACTTAAAACTACACCAACATACATAAAAATACAAATCAATGTGACAGCAGCTCATATCCTGATATACACTGAACAAATGTTGAGTTAATAATTCAGATGTTCATTATACAGCTGTGACTTAAATAATGAAAAAAGAAAGGAAAAAAACTACAGTACAAGAAGTCCAGTTTATGAACTGGACTGGCCACAGTGGACCCTTGGGGACCGGTACAAATGTCCAGTGGAAGCAGGAAACCATGAATTCTCTTTAAATGATCCTTTTATGTCAGCTCGCCTGCAGAGAAGAACCTGAACAAAGAACAGTCTGAAAGTATTTTAATCCTGCTCATTTTYACAATTTTACAGGATACGAATGATAAACACTACCAAACAAAATGGATGGAAATAAATACAGTGTTAGGGGTGTAACATGGTGACAGTTTGTCAGTTCATTTATTATAGTACCAGTTTACAACAAGTCATCTCAGGTCTCTGTCCAAAACATTCACATACATTAGAAAGTTCCCCATTAGTAAAAGTTATTTATCTAAAGAACAAGCAGATTGTGTTGAACCTTCACTTTTTGTAATTCTCTCACATCTCCTGTCCCGGTTTTAGGGTCATGGATTGGTAGATAACTTGGTTTTAGGATCACASTTCTACAAATACTTGGGTTTTTGAGTCATGGTTTTGTATGTACTCCAGTCTTTGAGTCTCTGATTGGTATGTACCCTGGTTTTAGAATCATGTATCTGTACGTACTGTGCTTTAGGATCATGTATCAGTACGTACCCTGGTTTTAGAATCATGTATCTGTACGTACTGTGCTTTAGGATCATGTATCAGTACGTACCCTGGTTTTATGATCATGTATCAGTACGTACCCTGGTTTTATGATCATGTATCAGTACGTACCCTGGTTTTATGATCATGTATCAGTACGTACCCTGGTTTTATGATCATATATCAGTACGTACCCTGGTTTTATGATCATATATCAGTACGTACCCTGGTTTTAGGATCACTTATC